GCGTCGGGAAGCCGAAAAGAGGATAACCCCAAAATTCACCAAAAACCATCAGAAAATCAATGATGTGTGCCTCTTGGGGCCTTCTTGGGAGTGCTCTTGGAGGCCTCTTTTGGGCCGTCCTGGAAGCCGCTTGGGCCACCTTGAGGTCACGTCGGTCACTCTTGGAGCGCTCTTGTGCTGTCTTGGGGGTCTCTGGGACGTCTCCGACGACCCCCCTGATCGCCCTAGGTGTGCTGGGAAGGTTTGGCAAAACGCCCTGCGAGGCCCGGGGGGCCGCTTCGAGGCCCGTCCGGAGGGTCCCAAAACCCCAGATATTGGGCGTCTGTTTTTTTTTGGGGGGGGACACGTTTTTCCCCCGCCAGGGTTTGCAAAAACATGAAAAGAGGAATCTGTGTAAATACGAGGGGTACAGGGCCGAGGTCTTAACCCAGCTGCCCTTGGTCGCCATAGGCGCGCTGGGCTCCCTTTGAGACCCCCCCAGCACCCCGAGAGCCACCATGAAGTCTTTAAGTAGCGTCGAAGAAACACCAGACGGCTTCCAGATGTCCCGTGTGGCTTCCGGACAGCCCCGCAACTTCGAGACGGCCCAAGAGAATTCGACGAGCGTTCTCCTGAGGACCCCAAGAGGCAACAAACATTGATTTCCATTAGTTTTTCAACATTTTGGGGGCTCTCGTTTTTCGAGCTTCGGCGCTCCACGACGTCCCAAGAGGCCCTCGAGACTTCCCCAAGACGGCCAAAGAGGACCCCAAACCAGGCCAAGAGGGTCCCAAGACGGCCCAAGAGGGGCCCCCAGACGGTCCAAGAGGATTCGACGCGCGCTCCCTAGAGGGCCCCAAGAGGAGCATTCGCTGCCGTCCAGTTGGTTTTTCAGTGTTGGCGGGGTTCTGGGTTTGTCCAGCTCCAGCGCCCCGCGGCGTCCCAGGAGCCTCCGAGGACGGCCCCAGAACGCGCCCGGAGGCCCCCAAGAGCGTGCCCCAGGAGGCCCCAGGCGGCCCTAGAGGCGCCCAAGCCGCTCCAAGAGAGTGCCCCAGGAGGCCCCCAAGAGAGTGCCCCAAGAGGCCCCAGGCGGCCCTGGAGGCGCCCAAGCCGCTTCAAGGCGATCCCAAAGGGGGGCTCGAGCGCAGGAGCCCGAAGCGACAATGCGAGCACTCCGTCCTACGATGCCCCCAGGCGGCCTGAGAGGACTCGATGGGCGCCCCTCAGATGGCCGCAAGAGGCAAGCACCAGCAATGTCCCCTGGGTTTTTATTTTGATGTGTGCTTCGAGGGTCTCGACTTTTCGAGCTTCAGCGCGCCACGGCGTCTGCGCTCCACGACCTCCTCAAGAGGCCTCCAAGGCTGCCCCGAAACGGCCCAAGAGGTCCCCAGGAGGGCCCCAGGACTGCACAAGAGATGCCTGTGTCACTGGACACTTCACAGACCCAACAGCGACTTGGGAATGTCAGGGTGAGCGGAGTAGTGGATAGACATCACGTCGGATATGTCTCTTCCATTTCGCTTCTGAAACGCCAGTCCAGGTTCCTACGTGCCGCCAGCACCGATCCAGTGTGGAAGGCGGAAGGCCAGCCGGAGTGGGGCCCAAGTAATCATGGGGCCCTACTGTACGACACTTGGTGCATGAAGCCTTGAGGGTGTATGCACCGATGCCGAGGCCCAGAAAGCTGCTGGTCAGGACTGGTGTCTTCCAAAGCCTGTGTACTCCCCAAGGCAGTCTGCACTAGGCGCTCGTCAAACTACTTCTCCCCCAAAAGGATCGGGTATAGCCAGGACCCCGGTGAAGGGGAGCCGATTAGTGATTAGCCCAAATATGGATTGGAGTCGCTAAACCAGGTCTGCCGTAGCTGATGCTTCTCGGGTTACGGCCATTCCGGTTAGCGGAATGGGACGTGGGGGGACGCCCCCCGGTACACATCCTTAAACCAGGTCCCACTAAACCCAGGAGGAAGAGGAGGAGGAGGAGGCGGAGGAGGAGGAGGAGGAGGAGGAGGAGGAGGAGGAGAAGGAGGAGGAGGAGGAGGAGGAAGAGGAGGAGGGGGAGGTGGAGGAGGAGGAGGAGGAGGAGGAGGAGGAGGAGGAGGAGAAGGAGGAGGAGGAGGAGGGTGCCCCTCAGGGATGGGGTGCGCTTGGCGGAGCTTCGCCCGGTGCCCCATTGGTGGCCATGCTGCCCGCCCGTGGGGCCTCGTGGGCGCCCTCGTGGGCGCCCGCGAGCAGCTGGCGGGTGTGCGCAGACGTGTGCGCCTGGTCGCCGCCCGCGGGTGCCTCGTGGGCGCCTCGTGCGCCTGGGCTGGCGCATAGCTCGCACCATCCTCCTCCTCCTCCTCCCCCCTCCTTCTCCTCCTCCTCCTCCGCCTCCTCCTCCTCCTCCTCCGCCTCCTCCGCCTCCTCCTCCTCCTCCGCCTCTTCTTCTCTGCACGAACGAAATGGGCACGGAGAGAATGGGTACAGTGCCCAGCAGCAGTTCCTGTTCATTTTGAGCAGGACTCGCTGTCCTCGCCGCCGCGGCCTGTGTCCACTGGAGCCAGGAGGCCGCCTTCCCAACAGCGGCCGCTGTTGGTTTTGGACAGCATTTCTTGTTGGGCATTGTACCCATCCTTTCCGTACCAATCTCGGGCGTCCAATTCCTCCTCCTCCTCCTCCTCTTCCTCGATGTTGCTCCACATAGCTCGCACCCCACACACTGCAGGATGATGGCCAAGAAATATCATCGGGGGTCGTGTTCACGCGGCGGCGCCCGGGATGCTGGTGGTGATCCGAAAGGCAGGCCCCGGGCCTCGCAGTTGCTTGTTGAGTCGTCCCCCCCCCGCCCTCCTCGGGTGCGCGCCTGGACGGTGGACGGGCCAGACGGATCTGTAGCGCTAAGCGGAAGCCGAGTATTCGGAAAGTATGTTGTTCATCGTCCCCCCACATCTTCTTCTCTGAATCGCCATCCTGCATTAGCCTTGGCCCCCGCCTTCACCACGTATCTTACACCACGCAGCCTGCACCGCACAGCGCACACCACAACTGTCACACCAAAGGGCTACCACCGCACAGCTTACACCACATGGCTGTCACAACGAAACTTGCACCACATGGATTGCACCGCGTTGCTCGCAGACCATACCTTGCATCACATGGCTTGCACTACATACCTTGCGTCACATAGCTTGCTCCGCGTATCTTTCATCATATGGCTTGCACCGCATTGGCCGCACTACTTAGCTTACACCACACAGCTTGCACAGCATAGCTTACGCATCCACCAGTGCGGTAACTTCTTGCTTGGTGTCAATTCTGGCAACCATGCCCCTAAGGAATTGGTTCGTTGTTTTGTTGGTGATGATGTTGCGGGAGTTTGACGTGACGGCATGGCCGGCAGCATTGGGCCAAGTGTTGTTGATGATTTCGTTGATCATGATCGTGAAGATTAGTACTTCGATGACGACGCGTAGAATGATGATGAGGAGTCTAAGGGTGAGGATGGGAATCTGTGTGAGGGTCAGGATTGGTACGACTATGGCATACGCTTGTGCATGACACCGGTGTCCAAGCTCTTCCAGTGCCCCCTCGGCCTGCTCTAGAACCTGAGCGCGCGCGAAGCGCGCGCGACGATTTTTTTGTCTCTCTCTCTCTCTCTCTCTCTCTCTCTCTCTCTCTATATATATATATATATTTATATACAGCGAGAAGGGGTCCCCGGCGGGCCCGATGTACGCCATAGCCGGTCTCCGGTCCTCGGTCCACCCCCTTGGCGAGTCTTGGCCCATCCATGCGCGTCTTGCGAGCTTCCGAATGGGTCGACGGTGGCCCCAGCTGAGACGAAGACAGCCGACAAGTGCTGCAAGATTGCTCCCAGAACGCGCCAAGGCGCAACATTTAATGGTGCTCCTGAGCTCTTGCAAGTGTTTGATTGTAGTGGCCTTCGGCTTGTGCCGCCGATCCGGGTCGCTCGGATACACATATCACGCGGACACTTCACGCACGCACACGACCAAATCCACATACGGCAGACACACATACAGAGACACACTAGGCGCACGCCAGACACTAGCACGCACAGACATTCGCAGACACGCACCACACACAGACACTCGCACAGTAGCCTGTCAGGGCGTCGTGGGGGCTTCTTGGGGGCTTTTGGGGGCCCTCTTGGGGGCTCTTGGGGCCTCCCGGGGGCCTCGTGGGCTGGAAGGCTAGATTTCTTCTGCTTTTCGTCCCTCTTTTGGGTCCTCTTGGGGCCGTCTTGGGGGCCTCTTGGGCCGTCTTGGGCGGCTCTTGGGCCGCCTTGGGGCCCTCTTGGGCCGTCTTGGGACTGTCTGGGGGCTTCCTGGGCCGTCTTCGATCGGTCTTGGGGCCTCTTGGGCCGTATGGGAGCGTCGGAAAGCCGACAAAAAGCGACAACCCCAAACACATGAAAAAAAAATGGAAATCAACGATTTTTGCCTCTGGGGGCCCTCGTGGGAGGCCTCTTGGAGGCCTCTTCAGACGTCTTGGAAGGCTCTTGGGCCGTCTTGGAGCCATCTTGGGCGTGTTCGGACGATCTTTCGGGGTCTCGGGACTTTCTTGGACCGTCTTCAGAGACTTTTGCGGCCGCGGCCACCCTTTTAGCGCATCCTCGAGATAAGAGCCTTCTGTAAAAGCAGCCCCCCGCGACCGCCGGAAAACTCGCCCCCCCCCCCCCACCCACCCACCCCCCCCTTCCCCGGCAGAGCCACCCCGGCAACCCCCCCCAGAGGCTGAGGCTCAGCCTCGAGGCTGTAGCTGAGACTCCTTGAAACTCACACGCCGGATCGGCGAATTTCTTTGCGTGTTCGGGCTTACGACAGGCCAAGACAGCCCGAGGGGCCTCCAAGATCACCCCAAGACGGCCCAGGGGGCTCCCAAGATAGCCACATCCGTAGCCATTTTGGCTCAAAACATTTTGGGTCAAGTAAGTTTGGCACCGGCGAGGCTCGCTCATTGCCGAGCTGAGTCTGCTCTGCTCACCGCACCGTATCAAATCTCGCCTTTCTGCTCGTCATGATGGGCTCGGCCGCGCTCGGGCTGCTGTGCCTGGTGGCGCCGGCGTCTGCGCTGACCGTTTCGCCAGAGCGCCAGATCAGCTCTGACGTGGAACAGGGTTCGGAGAAGCTTGGCGAGGGCAGCGCGGAGCGATGGAGCAATCAATCATCCTACCGCGTCATGTCGTTCAACGGTTCGGACTGGTCTGTGAGAGGCCATCCTGCGCGCACTGGTAAGCCGAGGACGCCCTGGGTCGTCTCGACGCCGCAGTGTCCAGCGCCCAAGGGGGCAGAATCGTGGAGCCAGAATGGAGAGGACCAGCACTTGTACCACAATTATTTTTGTGGCAAGCGCAACGGGACCTTCGTCGAAATGGGCGCCCTGGATGTGGGGTCTACTTGAGCAATACCAAGTTCTTCGAGGACCACATGGGCTGGGCGGGGGCCCTCATCGAGGCCTCGCCGCCCAGCGTCGCGCTGCTCCGCGAGAACCGCGGGCGATCGAGAAACTCGATCTTCGGAGAAGCCGCGTGCCCAAAAGGCACCGGCCACATCGACTTCTTGGTCGGGGACACGCCGGCAACAAATACCCAGGCCGGGAGCGTGCCGGACAGCTGGGTGGATCACTTCAGACAATGGCAGTTAGCTGCCGGCCTCTCGTCGAGATGCTGGTCGCTACGTTGAAGCAAAGGGGCGCCGACCACATCGATCTGTTCACGCTTGACGTGGAGGGCGGGGAGCTCAAGGTCTTGGAGACAATGGATTGGAGCGCGAAGGTCGGCCTGTGGTTCATCGAATTTGGTGGCGGGCGGCCGTGGGAGCTGAGCGACCTGCTGGCGATCATGGAGCCCAACGGGTACAGGCGGGTGCCCGCTGAGACATGGATGACCAACAATGCCGTCTTCGTTCCCGTCTAGTTCCCGTGGATGTAGCACAGTGGCGCGCGGGGGCAGTTCCGGCGAGTCGATTCCGATTCTTCCGCTTCTTCTCGATCGCCGTTCCGACTCATCGATTCGATCCTAGGCTCTTCAGTGGCAATGTATTCATCGTCGTTCGACATGCATGTCGTTCGATTCAGCATATAAATCACGCCTGCGCATCGCACCACGGGCACTGCTCGGCACGTGTTGGCTTGCCGAGCAGGCGCGGCGGGAGCTGCCCACCCGCCCGCGATGGAAACAAAAAAAGAGGCTCCCAAGATAGCCACAAGGGACCCAAGAGGGGTCCAGGATGGCCCCAGGGGCCCCCAAGACGATCCCAGAATGGCCCGAAGACGGCCTGACAGCACTCCAAGAGGGCCCACAAGGGATCCGCAAGCAAGCCTTCGAAGGCGTCGTACGGGCCAACAACGCCCTAAGACTTCCCAAGAGGGCCTCTGGAGGCCCCAAGGAGGCTTCAAAACGCCTCACGACATTCCCAAAAACCACCTGTGCATCCCATGCGTTCTTGCACCAACCGTATCTTCTCATCCTTTCTGCTTCGTCCTGTCTGTCCTGTTTTCGTCTGCATGCCTCCCTCATCCCGCCTTCTTCCTCCCTCCTCCCTGCTCCCCGAACCCTTCTCAGTCCTCTCTGCTCCCTTCACCTCCTACCCAGCCACTGGGCCTCTAGTTACGCAGTTTGATTCTCTGCGTAGTCCTTTTGGTCAATCGTTTTGCTCATTCCGCCGGCCCGTATTGTGCCTGCGCGTTCGTGGCCTCTTGAAGCCTCCTGAGGGCTGTTTGTGGGCCTCTTGGCGCCTCTTTTTGGGCCTCTTGGGGACTACGTGGGGCCTCCAGGGGGCCTCCTGAGCTCTCTTGGGGCCTCCTGAGGGCCTCTTGGGGCGGAAGGCTCGACTTGGTGGTTCATGTTCCCCTTCTTGAGCCCCTCATGGGGCCGCCTTGGGGCCCTCTTGGGCGATCTCGGGAGCCTCTGGGGCCGTTTCGGGGCCCTCTTGGACCGAAGGGAAATCGATGGTTTGTGCCTCCTGGGGCCCTCTTGAGACGCTTGTTCGAGGCCTCTTTGGGCGTCTCGGGGGCGTCTGCGGCCGTCTGGAGGCTATCTTGGGCGGCGTGGACTAGTCGGTCGGCGACTCGGAACCCTATTGGACCGTCTTGGGGATTCTTGGGGCCCTATGAGGGTGCTCGAGAGCCGCGCCCAGAAGAAAAAAAACATCTCTGGGTCGGACCGTCCGGGGACCGCCCGGGGTACTTTTCGTCCGGGGACCCCAGGAGCCGCGCCGCCCGCGCGAAGTAGAAATACTGTTGACCAGCAGCCCGAGATCTTAGCACGCCTCTGGCCCGTTGGGCCGGCGATTTTTCCGTACTCCATTGCATATTATCCCGCCTCTTCTCTAGCTTTTCCGTCCTTCTCTCTCGTCAGTCCTCTCTCATCTTTTCCTCCTTAGATCATCCCCGCCTTCCCAGTCTTCAGACATGTCTCTTGCTCCTTGCTCCTGCCTCTTGCCTCCTCCATCCTTCTCACTCGATCTTCTGTCTCACCCTCTTCCCCTTCTGACTCGTCCCTTCCTCCTCTTCCTCCTCTTCCTGCTTCCTCTCACTACGACGCGCGATGACGACAACGTCCGACGACGACAACGTCTGGCAACGACGGCGACGAGGCGACGAAAACGACGAAGTCGACGAAGGTGACGACGGCGACGGCGACGGCGACGGCGGCGGCGGCGGCGGAGGCGGAGGTGGCGGCGGCGGCGGCGACGATGACGACGACGATGATATATACATAGATGTCAGCATATATATATATATATATATATATATATATATAGGTAGAGGTAAGTAGGTAGGTAGGCAGATGTGCCTGTATGGGTTTATGCGTATCACATGTATGCATCTGATGGCATTCGGCCCATCCCGCCGCCTTGCCTGGGTTGTGGGTATGACGCCAATTGGATGTTCGTTGGGATCTCGTGGGAGGCCTCTCGGGATCCTCTTGGAGGCAGTTCGGAGGCATTTGGGGGGCCGTTTGGGAGCATCTTAGGCATCTGTTGGGCCTCGTGGGGGCCTCTTGGGGTCTCTTTGGGGCCTCTAGGGAGCTTCTTGGGGCCTCCTGGGTCGCCACGGAGCCTCCTGAGGCCTTTTTCTGGGCGGAAGGCTAGGAGTTTCGGCTCGTGTTCCTTCTCGTGGGCCCTTTTGGGGGCCGTCTGTGGGCACTTTTGGGCCGTCTTGGGTGCCTCTTGGGGTGCTCTCAGGCCGTCTTCGGGCCTCTTGGATGCCTCTTGGGCCGTTTTGGGGTGGTCTCGGGAGCTTTAAGGCGAGAACGTCACCATCCTTCAAGCGCCTCTTACGCTCTCGAGGCCCGGGCCATCTTGAGGCCATCTTGGGCGTCTTAGGCCGATCTTTGGGCGTCTCGGAGCCTTGCAGGCAGCTTATGGGCCGTGCCCGTCTTGGGGCCCTCTGAGGCCCGAACAATTAATCCACGCGCCACAACTTGGCAAAGGCAAGGGGGCACGCGTGAATCCCCAGAGGGTACGCGGAAAGCCCCAGGAGATCTGAGAGCGTGGGGTCTGGGCCTTGTACAGACACCGCAGGAGTGAGGATCAGCGCTTAGAGGATTGGGCCCAGGACCTGAGGACACGCCCATTCCGTGCCCAGCGGCACGGTGAGGGATACACACATGTACACCTAGACACGCTTGTACACACATATAGATACACATATGTGTGTACATATATATATATATATATATACATATGGACACATGTATGTATATATATATATATATATGTGTGTGTACCTTGTAGATCCCGAGGGCAGGGCCCCATCGAGTTCCCCCCCCTTGCACGCTTCTGGGGTCCCCGCTTTGGGGGCCTCGGAGAGCGCGCGGAGAGGGCCTGCAGACGAGATCGAGGCACCCACGAGGCCCACACGACGAGCCAAGAGGGCCCCATGACTGTATACGAACGCTCGAGGGAGCCCACCACAGCTTCACGTAGGCCTAGGAGGGTCCCCAATCGCTTTAACAGGGCACCAAGGGAATCCCCATGATGGTTCTAGGATGTCCAACCGATTCATGATGGCTTTTGAACGTGTCAGCGGATCGTTTTCTCTGCTTTCTAATGCTCCAAGACCGCCCAAGCTGCCCGTGAGCACCTGGGCAGCCCAAGAGTCCCCCGTGACGGCCCGACCACAGCCCACTACTTATAGCGCCCAGACGGCCCAAGAGGCCGCCAAGTCGTCCCAAGAGGCCTTCAAGACGGCCCCAAGGCATGGGGACGAGCGGGAATCCAAAAGGACATTTCGAGCCCAGACGCCACGAGCCTTGGGTAGACCACCGAGGCGCCCCCAAGAAGTCGAGAGGATCAGGAGACCCCCAAGAAGCCCCAACAGGCCCTCACAGAAGCCACGACGATCCCTCCAAGAGTGGCCCAAAAGGCCTCCAGCGAGACTCCAGCATGGTTTTGCTAGGCTCCTATGGGCTCTCGGGCATACTCACCCCTCAGGCTGCCCTGGGTCTTCCTCGTGGTTGCCTTGCGCGCCGTCTGTAGCCTGCCTGGGCTCTTGCAAACAAATGCAGCTGGAGGAGTCGCCCTGCACGTATAACCGCTAACGATCTTTAGTTGTGGTTCCCCGCCCCCTTTTTCTTTCGGAGGTGAATAGGGCTGGTGCTAAAACCTCTTCCTCTTCCTCCTCCATCTCCTCCCTCCTCCTCCTCCTCCTCCTCCTCCTCCTCCTCCGCCTTCTCAGCCTCCTCCTCGCAATCGTAGTCGCAGTTGTCGTCGTTGTCGTTGTTGCGCGGCGGGTGCTGCGGAATACGATGCTTCGTTACACCCTGTTGGTGGGACCCCAGTACCTCAATGAGGCCGCCGAACGTGTTTAGTTCCCCCCCACTGGAGGGTCCTCAGACCTGTCAGGGTTACCTATGGTGCGACATCGTGCTTGACGATGCCTCCATGAGAAGAGTGAGACGTGCCATCTGCCTTGTACAGTGTGTCGTGCAACATCGTAACGCTTCCCAGCAGGGAGGGATCCCCAAGGCCGCGCCCAACACGCTTTCGACTGACCTTGGCAGCACTTAGATG